CATCGGAGAGCATTGGAAAACTCCGTATAGCATCACAAAGCATCGCACAATATCGTATAGCATCTCAAGCTCCGGAAAGCATTTCAACGGCTCCGGAAAGCTCCCGGAGCCGCCTTTTCCCCCTTGGAAAAATCCCCCTTCTTGGTGTTTGAAATGACTTACGCACTTGAGCAAAAAAAAAAAGATTCGATTCATAAAAAAATTTACTCATTCCGAAAAGTTGAAGATCTATTATTTTTGGTTATCAACTAAATTTTTTTTGAATAAGAAAATATTCAGAAAATGTTTTGGTATTGTTCAGTAAAACTCCCTCCCCCTCTCCTCTTATCAAAGTTATATAAAAACGCTGAACGTTGAACTCTATATACACAAGTAGAATTAAATTTCATCAGAGTTACATCTCTCATTTTATTGCGTGATACAAAAGTCACTATGACAAGAAGATTCAGAAAAGATAAAAATGATATATATATACACTGAGACTTACTTTAAAATGTTCAGTAGTTGTAAATATAAAATGTGTAAAAAAAAAAACAACACAGAAAACAAAACATCAAAATATATATATTTTATTCTCTAAATCTCTTCGTTTTTCTATCATAAAAATAATCTACAGGAAATAGAAAAAAAAAACAAAAAAATTTTTCTGTTTCCTTTTGGTTCTCTTCCTGTGTAACATCATTTGTATAACAATTATTCTGTAACCCAGCAACCTCTTTTATGACTACATTTAATCTACTGCATAAATAACTTAATTAGTTATGCATTTTGTTTACAATAACTAAAAGTCAAATATATTTAAAGAATACAGCATCGTAAGGTTCGTGGCAATGGTATATCATCGAAATTTCTCCTGTACAAAGTTTCAAATTCAGAAGTTTTGGTTGTTTGATGATTTTTCTTCTAAATTTTCTTTATATATGTATAATAAGCATCATTTTTTTTGTTTCGTTGAAAAGAAGTTGCAAAAAGTTTCAAGAAATTCCGTTAGATCAACAGACTTTCTCCTGAAAATTTATGAATTTATCGTCAAATTGACAAAAAAATATAGATAAGGAATGGCGAAAAGATTTGACTGTTGTAGAGATACATTTCGTGTTAGATGTAGATTCTTTTATGCTTTAATCTTTTCCTGATATACATCTTATGTTCGATAGATCTCTGCTTGGAATGAAAGCGAAATTCTCTCCTTCGTCTTTTTTATGGAGTGTTGCACTAAATCTTTGAGAAATTTATTTTTCATGTACCTATTTTTTATTTGTATGTTTTTGCTAATATTCTAATTTGATCTGTCTTTGTGTATGTATGATAACTAGTGTTTCGTTGTTTTTCTTTTCTAGACCGTAGTAACAAAACAAAAAAAAAGATTTCAATATGAAGAAAAATCGTTTCGTATCATCATCACGCCGAAAATCGAGAAAACGTTATTTTACAGCACCATCACATATTCGTCGACGTTTAATGAGCGCACCACTCAATAAAGAGTTACGTCGACGTTATGGTGTTAAGAGTTTACCAATACGAAAAGATGATGAAGTAGCCGTAAGTTCAATCAATTACTTTCTTTTCATTTATTCACAAAAATAGTGTTGCATCCCAACTCTTTTCTTTTCTTGTCTTAAATAAATATCATATTATGATCCTATATTTTCGTTTTAGATTACAAGAGGCCATTTTAAAGGACAGCCATCTGGTAAAGTCACGCAAGTTTATCGAAAAAAATTTGTCGTACATATTGAACGTATAACACGTGAAAAAGCCAATGGAAATACCGTTCATATTGGTATTCATCCGTCGAAGGTACAAGACTTTCAAAAATTTACAGTTAGACTCTTATCTCTATGTTCAAAAACCAGTGTTCTCTATTTATTGATAAATAATAGCTTGTTTCTTTTACACAGAGGAAACTTTAACCGAGAGAAAAGTAAAAGTTTCTCAAGATCGCATAGTAACTTTACGAGAGGCTAAAGACCTTTTATGGTTGATAAATTTTGATGAAAATATTCTACAGAAGCGCTGAAAAAGATAGGAAGACAAAGAATCTGTCTAATACATTTTTTATTTTGTTTCATTGTTTTATTTTAGGTTCAACTAACAAAATTGAAATTAGATCGTGATCGAAAACGTATCTTAGATCGCCGTTCAACGACAAAACAAACACAAAAAGGAAAATACAGTGCAGAAACTATAGCACAAGGATCAGCGCAAGAAACAGCAATGGAAACATCTTAAAAATTAAATTCATTATGCATTTTTTGATCTCAAAAAAGAGAAAAAATGTAATTGTTTTGTTTTTTAAATAATTGGAAAAAAAAACAACTTATTATTATTATTGTTATTGTTGTTGTTCTTTATTGTTTTCTGAATACAGGTGAAACATTGAATAAATATCTGAAACGAGAAAACACGAAAAACCAAGTATTTATTTGATTTTTTATGAGAATATGAAAATAATTTTAAAGTGTCTAGCTCTTGTCTTAAGATAGTACGATTATACTATAAATACTATTATATTGTGTTGAAAATAAGAATATGCGTAAACAACCATCATGATTGTAGATCATAATTTTTTTATCTACAATAAGAAGATCTTATTGTAACAGATAATTGTTAATTATAGAATTACTTATAAATATACTTTTGAAATTTTATTTTAACAGAGAATTAAATTGTATGATTTGAAACTGGAAAAGATAGATTTTACAACTGTGTTAGTGCATTAGATTTATATCATTTTTAAATAGCATTGTTGATCCTATTCATTCTACTTGAAGTAACTTTAGTTCGATACCTAATAGATGATATGAATTGTTATTCTTTTTAGTATATGAAATGTGCCATATTGCCTTAAGATATTAATTATAGATGGTTTGCCTTGTTATGATACGCTTGAATGATTATCATGTTTGAAAGAATTTTTTCTTTTTCAAAGAGTCTGTTATTTTTTGACGTTTTTTTTTACCGAGAAATTCTCATTATAAACCCTAACTATAAACTGATTTTGAGGTTTAAACACTTTTATTTTTTGTTGAAAAATTACGAATTAATCATTTTTTGTTCTTTCTACAAACAAGAAGAGAAATAATTCACCGTATAAAACCTAATAGATATTTCGAAATTATTTTCGTAGATATTAACGCCCTCATAATACAAGAAACATACACGGTAAAGATAATTTTTGTTGAGCAATTTTGTTCGTTTTGAGATCTAAATCTAAGTAGAAAAATGATTATTACTGGATGAAAGAAGAAACTACTTCGATAGAGGTTGCATCAACTATCCCTATTTGTTAAGAACTAAGAAAACTGTTGAATTAGATAAGTTCGATTGGCAGATACTTATAAAAGACAAGAAAAGTTCACATTGATCTTCAACCTTTTATTCGCATAAAATCTTGAAGGAATTAGACAAAAAACACTAGAATTGAACTGGAAGGAGCTTTTGAATAGCTCACGTCAATTGTTGTACATTAGAAAAATCTCTACATTCTTTGCTCATTATCAGTTATTGTGTGCTAATAATACTTTTCTCTTGTTTACATTAATAGTTTTTTTTCTCATTTCAGATATGGATTACAAAACAACTTGTTTGCAGTTTTATTGTCTATCATTTATTTGTGTGACCGTATTTTCATCGCCACTTCTTCTGTGGAATAATATGTACGTGTTTTTTTTTTGAATTATAAAAATTAAGTATTTTAATTTCATAATTTTTAGAAATATTCCAAATTCTCCTGTTTCATTATCGAAGGTTGATGCATCTGATATTATCAAAAAAGATATATGTCAAAAGATTAAAGTGACGAATATTCAATTGAATATTATTTCCCTTCCAAATGTAAGATACAATTTTATTCTTCTTTAAGTCGTCATTTTTTATCATTGTAAATCTTATGTTTTCGTTTTAGCTAGTAAATGAGCAAATTTATCACGGTGAAGATCGAAATCATGTTATTCTTAACGATGCAAAAGTAATTGTAGAGTTTTAATCAAACATTTTATGTTTTGTTTTTATTGAAGAGAATATTTAATCGATTGTAAAATGCTTATTACTCTTTTCAACAGAAAGCAGAACATTTGTTTAATATTAAATTCTACTTTTAGAAAGAAAATTCAAATTTTCGATTTTATCCGGATGTAACTAATGCCTACGATATTTTAAATTCCATTCAATCGTTGTGTAGTAATATTAAATTTGAAGTTAAATCAAAAATATCGGATACATTGAATGATGGTGAGTTTAAGTAAAAACTAATATTAAAATTTTAAAGTTACTTACTATTTTTATTTTAGCTTTAAATCAAATGCAAGGATTGATAAAGTCAACAAATGATCAAAAACAAATGTCAACAATTATTGTTTTAACTAGTGAACAGAATAGTGCAGACGTACGTTAAATTGTCAATTTTTTCTGTCCATACTCAACTTTTCTATCGTCTTTAGGTGGTCATCGAACGTCAAAAGCGTGCACTAGTAGATACAAATGTTGTTGTTTCTGACGACGGTTGTATGTTCTATGCAGACCAACTTTATTTATCTGACAAAAACAACCCTAATGGTCCAGCAATGAATTATTCATTAGATGCACAGGAAAGTAACTGCATTATAAGTAATGATCCAGGAAGTAACAATAAGTCGGATGTTTCGGCACGGTATGTTGTACAATGTTCTCAAGAAAACAAAGTGATCCTTATTTTCTCTGTTTAAGATTATTGCTCCGTTGGAAACATAATGCCAGTATGACTTTTGACACAGTGTACGTTATTTTATCAATTATTCTTTTTCCAATTTTGACATAGGCTTATTGTTCTACTTTTTAGACTTACGGCATATATGAGTGGACGGTACTGGTTTTTTGATTCAATTACAACTCCAGACAATGATTCATTTCGTTATTTTGCGTATGGTATGCATGATAATATGCAAACACCGTCCAAATATTCATATGCTTGTAATAGTGCGACATTTGTGAGTTTTAATAATTCAAAATATGTTTTTCAAAATAGAATGTGGATTTCGAATATGCAAGTAAGTGCAAAAACAAGATGAAGAAACAACAATATATTTCATCATAAATGTTTCTTATTATAGTTCCAGCCATTCAATGTCACTACAAATAATGGAACAACATATGTCTTTGGCCCAGTGAATTATTGTACATCATTTTTTACTGCTGGTATTTGGATGGGAATTGTATCTAGTTTATTATGTTTAGCTATATTAATGTTTGGTATATATATGATGATGAGTGTAACACCTCCTGGACGATTCGATGATCCGAGAGGAAAACCATTACAGATAAAAGCACAAGAATAAACTCAATGAAAGTTTTCATTTGTATATTTAGTCACTTCCAAAGGCATTTCTTTTTTGTGTTTCTGTTGATACGTAATTATAAATGAAACATTTGACTATTTATTTTTCTTTATTCGAAAGTGACATTTTTAATTGTGATAATTGGTCCAAAAAACGAATTATTTCTTTTCCACAGTTTATTTATGTTTTCAAAAAAATTATTTTTAAAGATTAATTTATATGGTAGTAAACTAGCCTTCAATGAGTTATTCTTTTTCTTCTAAGGAAAAAAAGTACAACTCACTGCAGTTTTAGTCATTCGAAAGTCGTAACATCTATTTCACAGTATCTAGCGACTGTAAAACCCGATCAAACTACGCTTTTTTAATATTTTGATCTTAATCGTTGTTTTCGTTTTATTGAATTTATATGGGCGTTTTTTCTTTATTTATTTTTTTTCGATAAAAATCTAAACAGTAAATTCTATTTATCCATGTACAGAATAAAGCTGCAGGAGAAATGCTTGATATATATATATATATATATATATCCTTTCACACGTATTTGATAGATTGTTTAAAACTAAGACAAAGTCATTATTTTCCTATTTTTGTTGTGTTTATTAATATTCTCTATCGTACTTTCTGTATTATTATTAAAAAGTGGATCAACAGTAATAAAAGGTCGGTTTTAAACTTTTTTCTATCACTATTCCATTAAGTTAGAGAGAAGGGACTAGTTGAAATGTCATTTGATAGAGAAACCTTGACTATTGCAATTCATAAAATTACGTTCAACTTCAATTCAAGTAGGATATAGATCCTGAAGATTGACATCCATAGGTGAAGTGACAGTATCAGGAGAACAAACAACAGGAGATGAGTTTAAAAATGGTCTAAATTACAAATAACAAGATAGTTTTTAGCAGAGATATTGTCATTGACGATACTGTCCTGAACAAGTGAAGAGTTCAAATCTGGATGACTAAAAGAGCCTAGACAAAAACCTTTTCTAGATAATCATCTATTGATCGAGCTAATTGACTAATACTTTCTGTATTCAGATGTAAATCGAAGTATTATTAGGAGCTCAGGGTAATTTTTATGCCACTGTTTATTCACAAAAATGTTTGTCAGAACATCAGATTACCTATGTTGCACCATTAACTAGTGACCAAGAGGAATCCATCTAAGCATCTGAGTTGATATAGAACTCGTGAATGTTCTATAACGAAGATCCCATAGATCTATCATAGATGACATACAATGGGTCCAAAAATTGTTCGTACATCTTTCTTTTTCACTTTTCTCGTCAACCATAGTAGCTAGAACAAATTTGAAAAAAGATTTATACAACTGAAAGAATTACTAATCTGATGTGGTATATATAAAGATTCCATCGAAACTCCTGAAGCCAGGGTTTCTAGAAAACCAAATCCTCAAGATCTGCAAATTTTTCGCAAATAACTCGCTCATATGAACGAAACATTCCTGAACAAAATGAGACGTCTCCGAGTTCTCTGTGACACTTTTTCATCAAACAGCATTCACTTTACGAAAGATCCTAAGGGTGAAACTTTGTTTTCCCGTTAATTCTGACGACTTTGCTGGTGTGGGGCTTTTGGTAAATTGAATGCTGTTTCATGAAAAAGTGTTGCTGAGAGCTCGGAGACGTCTCATTTTGTTCAGGAATTTTTCCTTCATTCATGAACGAGTTATTTGCGAAGAATTTGCAGATCGAACTTGAGGATTTGGTTTTCTGAGATTTGGGTTTTTTAGAGACCCTGGTTTCAGAAGTTTCGATGGAATCTTTATAAATACCATATCAGATTGGTAATTCTTTCAGTTGTATAAATCTTTTTTCAAATTTGTTCTAGCTACTATGGTCGACGAGAAAAGTGAAAAAGAAAGATGTACGAACAATTTTTGAATCCATTGTAGTTGGTGGACGGTGTGAACATCTATGCATTGCTGAGAGAATGTTTGAGGAAGCTCTCCTGATTGTTTATTACAATGTTAGTCATTGAAGGTTCGAATCTAGAGTAAATATATATAATGCATAAGTACATAAAAATTAACAAACTCTATAAAAGGGGATGGCTATTATGATCAAAACACTCGATGTGATACTTAAAATAAGAGAATTAAATAGTTCAAACGAAAGAATAACCTAACTAGTTAAATTACAATATATGCATGATATTTGGACTTTGACGCCTACAGGATTGAATGTACTTTAAACGTTTAAGAACATGAAATTTACTCGACTCCCTTTACCACGTACCTCAGTCACTTTTCACTTATATGCTTGTTGCATTACACGGTGAATAAACATGATGATAGTCAAAATTATTGGGAATGATATCATTCAATTTTGAATGTATGCAATGTGTTCGTAATAAGACTAAAAATGATATACAAAAAGCACAACCACTCTCATCTATTCTATGCGTTTTAATCTAGTTTTATTTATTCTTTTACTTTCACAAGCTCTTTGACACCACTAACCAACATCTATCGTTCATAAAGTTGAAACTAAAAAGAAACCAGTATCATCGACGCAGATAGATCTAATTTTGAGTTGAATCCGGCATACAATGGGATATCCCGAATTGCCGTATAAGTGTTTTTCTCTGGTTGTTGTATTTTTTTTTTACCATTATTTCTATTTCGCGAAGTTTGAGTTTCATCCTCATCATCATTCGACTACGAACAAACGAGGTTTGCAAGTGACAACTCTTCGATTGTTGTTTTCGGAGTCACTGTGAATCACGCTTTGGATGACTAGTCCTGAAGCACTTTATCCGGCTGACCACTTTACGGTCAGATATCACCGATCAAAATATCAAAAAGCGAACATTAATCGATAATAATACTTATCAACCGCTTCAAGAATTAGATTTAAATACATTTGAGGTTAATGATAATTTTGTATGAAATTATTCGATTCGAAGTCTATTGTTCATAACAAAGAAAATTTTTTCATAAACATGTATGTGAAGAAATGACTATAATTAATCCGTCTAAAAAACAAAAACTAACGCAAAAGTCGTCGACAAAAAAGAAAATTTCACTTTTGTCTGAACAAAAATTAATAAAGGATTATTTTAGTAGAATATAAAAGTTTCATTTATATCTTTCAATTTATTTTGTTTATTATAAAATGTATCTCTATTTCTTCTGTATATCAAAGTTCTTAACTGTTATTTATTTTTCTATTCCAATATTTTGACAATCAATATGTTTTTTTTGTTTTATTATTGTGCCTAATCTAATTATTTTCAATTTTTGTTAACTCATGGGCATTTTCTATGAAAAAATGAATGTTAGTTTTTGTTGATAATTCTAATGTTTTAAAGTTGTTGGTTGTTTTTTTTGTGATTTTTATATAGTCGAAGAAAAAAAGAAAGAAAAAAAAACACCAAACGAAGTATATTTAATGATAGACTAGAGAATAATAAAGGTTAACTATTATTTTTGTTAAATAAAATATGTCAAAAGAAAATATTCAATAGAAGTAGTCAATTCTCTTTTTGATCTTTGAAAACTTGCTTTGTATAAAATGTGCACTAATGAATGATAGCATGACGTTGTAAGCAATCTTTTGATTTTGCTTTAGAATAAAACAATGACTTTGAGCTCATTATTATTTATAATTATTAAATTTACAATACGTTAGATATGAATCTAAATATATTTTATGAAATAAATTAAATTTTAATTAATCATGACCACTAGAGCTAAACAACTTCTGAAAAAATGTTCGGTGAAAACTCTCTTCTAAAACGAAGGATAGATATTTTTTAATAACTAGTAAAAAATATTAAGAGAAAATGAGGCATACTTTTTCACATTATTAATTGAAATAAATCTAACATTCAATTTATTTACAGTACTGGTCAAAATTATAGGTTCATCTTTATTTTTAATTTTTCTTCTCATAGTAGCTAGAACAAATGTGAAAGAAGATTGAACAACTGAAAGAGTTTATAATCAGGTGAGGTGCATATGATAATTCCATTAAAATTCCTGCAAACCAGGTCTGTGGAAAATCAAGATTTTAGAAAACCAAAACGTTGTCTATATGTACAAAAAAAACCCGCGATTCCAATGGAAACTTTTTGTAAATAGCCTATTCGTGTAGAGCAAACATTTCTAAACAAAACTAGACATCACCGAACTCTCTAAGATGTTTTTTCGTCGAATTGTATTCAATTTACAAAAGGTTCCTCGATCATTTTCACTATCATTTTTGCTCTTTTTCTAGCGATTTTGCTGATTGTGACGTGGAGGGGCCTTTCGTAAATTCAATGCAGCTCGATGTAAAAACGTCGTGGAGAGTTCGGCGACGTCTAGTTTTGTTCAGAAATGTTTGCTGTACACGAAGAGACTATTTACAAAAAGTTGAGACTTTGAGAGTTGGGACTTTTTGGGATTTTCTAAAATCTTGGTTTTCCACAGACCTGGTTTGCAGGAATTTTAATGGAATTTTCATATGCACCTCACATGATTATAAACTCTTTATATTTTGGCGAGTACTGTATATTGATTTTGTTAACTGAAAGAATTTTATTTAATTCAATAAATGCATCATAGAGAATTTAGAAACACATCGCGCTTTTTGGTACATCATTTTTTATTTTATTACCAACGAGTGGTGATCGGTCGAACGAACTTTTTCTCTCCTTTTTCATCATCTTTCTAGTGGTACTATAGTCTTCTTATGTCTCTATGTATCGGCAATATTCTCAAGTTTTTTATTTTCAACTTCATTACTAACAGTTGCCGTTTCATCTCAGACAATATGTTTGCATTATGGATATTTGATTATAAAATATCACATTTTATTTGATATAAACGCAATGTGTGATTTGTTGTTTATGTTTGACATCTAAAATCGTTCAACTTCGTTAATGTGACATGATAATAATCGATGTTTTAATACATCTTCAAGTTGTTTTTTCCGTCAATTTTTTAAATCAGACGATAATGTGATCGAATAGAAATATAATTGAACATGCATCAAAAATAAAGAACGAATTAATAAATAATTACACTAAAAAATGACTGTTGAGCGATGATGTCTTCTGATCAATAAAAACAATTTGTATAAAACGAATTATAACTCCTATTGATTTCACAAGTATTGAAGTACGAGTTTTTAGAAGTATATGTCTCAGGCTAATATATTGGAACAATATTTTCTTTTGAATGTTTTTCCATTCATTCTAAAAGAGCCTTAAGAAAGTTTTTTACGAAAAATTTAGGAACATTTCTGAATAATGTTTGTTGAACGCTACAGTTAACATGAACGAGACTACTCCGTTTTTTCATCCGAAAAAGTGTGAATTTTTCAAACATTCGATCAAAATCAGAATAATGAGAAGTATTTAGAATTGTCTCATTAACCGTCATTTCACCACCTGTGATTTGCCTATATTTTATCGGATTTCTTTTCAGCTTTTTTTGTAGAAAGTATTAGAGCTTATCATCTCTTGTTCGCGGTAGCCGTCGATATGGCGTACCGTCAATATATACTAACCTCAGCTAATGACCGCTGATCGAAGTTGAGAAACTAAACTTTCATTCAAATGTGCTTTTCCGCGTGGGGTTCGTACGGACCCCAGGTGGTGAAATGAGGATTAAATGATTGACGTTGATCTTTATCTCTGTTCCATTTTACAGTTTCTCTCCTATTTCTATTTTCTTTTCGTACCCAGAGTTCTGTCGAAGAAGCTAAAATTTGCGCTTATATATATTAGCTTTATTGTTTATTTCCTCATCGTCCAAACTAAGCTTGCTTTTCTGTGAATTATTCAAATGTATAAAAATATATAAGAAAAAGAACAAATAACTTGTTCAACAAAAATTTGCATTGAGTATTTGAGAAAAACAAAGTGTGTTTTTTTTACTTGTCTATATGTACAAAACAAATATATAGATTTTGATTTTAAGAAGCTCAGAAACATAATTCACATGGTATAAAAAAAGAAAAGGTATATATATATAGATATATATAGCACGATTTGTCTAGTCTAAAAGCAGAAATCTCAGTGGGACAAAACATATTGAGCAACAAGTAAAAAAAAAAGAAAAATTTAACAAAAAGAAAGAATGTAATAACAACAATATTTAATCATCATCTCCACCGTATAAATCAGCTAATCTAGAAAATTTTGGACCCCATGAATATAAAAATCGATAATCATGTTCATCAATTGATTCATTTGACTGAATGGAACTTAAATCACTTACTATACTACCTTCACCCTCATAGGTATAATGTAATTGAGAATCATTTGCATAAGGAATAGTAGTGGCTTGTTGTTCAATTAATTTATCTTCAATATAAATACCTAATGATGGTCGACGATTACTCATCGGTGTAAAACCTAAAATAATAATAAAATAACTACTATATGTAGGTAATTCTGTTCACTCTTTATATTCTAAAGGGAAATCATAGATTCAACTGTAACTAAAAAGTCGTATAATTCAGTAACTTTCTTACAAAATGAATATAGGAGTCAAAATGTTAAATTACCACTTTATTATAACTTACCCATATTTTGCATTGACATTCTTGACATAATTTCATCGTCAGTTGGAGCATAAACAGGTTTTTTCAATACTCCTAAATTGTATGCTGAATGATCCTCTTCTCCAGCTGTCTCTTTATAATCAATAATATTTTCTCTAATATCATCTGGATATAAACTCATCAATGTCTTTTTCTGTTGACGTTTTCTCACACATGTTAATAGGCCCAAGGCAATTATTGTTGCTAATATTAGCAGAACTAATGCAATAATTAACCATGTATACCATGGTACAATAACGCTATTGATAAATGGTTGTACGGCTGTTGTACATGAATTTGTTATAGTACATGAGCATTGTCCATAATCTGAATTTGTTGATGTCTGTGCTTTACTCATATCAACATAAAAACCGTTTGAATGAACATTTCTAATACAACCATTAAACGTATTTACTGTCATCAAACTAGGATATAGGTCTGATATTGTTGAGCCAATAGCTTAAAAAAACAAAAGAAGAGTCATCATTTTTTGGTAAATTTAGAGCTTATGTTAATTAAATACCTGGCAAACCGCCCAAATACAATTGCACGACATTTGGATCGTATGCAGTTGATGTAGTATTGCTAACATTCGATGAATATAAACAATCATTAACAGATACCAGTACGGTGTTACCAACAAATTGATATTCTACATGGTACCATGTTGAGGCATTCAGTGCTCTATTTGTATCTGATATTGTTTCACCAAAATGAAAGCGTAATTGAGAATTATAAATTTCAATAGCTGTCCAAAAATAATCATCAACAGATGGAGTATTTTTACCATAAAGTAGTAGAAGACCATTTCTTAAAGGTGAACGTGATGCAAAATCAAAACTAAAACGTGTTGGTGATAAATTTGATATTGCTGAACCGCTAAATGATGCATAACCACCGCCGTTTGCATTAAATGTACGACCTAATACCTCACAGTATGGACCTAATGGTGCATAGGATTGTAACGCAGTACATGGACAATATGTGGAATTATTGTACGAATACGTAATACAGTCTGCAGCTAGTGATGATGGTGGTTGAACAGACGTAGAACTGTTGACGCAATCAGCTGAATCAAGAATATTAATGCCAACAAATGATGTTAAATTGGTATCAACTAAATAGGGTAGCGGTTGAATAGTACGATCATAGCGACATGTTGTTCCTGTTGGACAACCATAATTCGTACATGGATTTGGTCCGCTTGCCGTTGCCCTGATACCATATCGTGATAAAAATAGGGCAAGATTTGTATTTAGTGTATTTTCAATTAATTCTTTTGCCATATTTGGTACATAGAATATGACGTCGGTTAATGCTTGCTGTTTTTGTTGATCAAATGGTAATGGTGGTAAAAGTGGATTCATTATTTGTGTTGAGGGAGCAGAACGTATTGTTAATATTTGTATAGTATCAACAGTAACAATAAGAATTTGTGCTAAAGCACTGCGTAACGTATTTATTCGTCTACCAAATGTTGGATCAATAAGACTCTCAGGATATTCACCTAAATAGTTAAGTTCATATTTTGTATTTATGTAAATGTTTTCGAGATAAAGCCTCAAAATAGCAACAACACTTTTTAAAAAGTTCAAGAGTGTTAAAACTGATAGAAACTAACTAACTTTGTATTCTTATGGTTGCTGCTTGTCTAACAAATTCACTGTCAACACTTTGTACATCTAAATCAACTGTACCAGTAGCAGTGAAACTATTTTTAACAACTCTTGTTTGAACTGTGTATGAGCCAGGGTACAATGTACTACTAGCAGCCAAATAACCATTAAGTCCACTACCATTAGCAGTAAATGTCCCTGCAGTACTCGATATCACTTGATAACTATTCGTTGCACGACTCCAGTCATCTAAATCATTGACATGGATTGAACCAAGAGCTTGATTTGTTAATGCATTATTGTAACCATTGACATAGAGTACACTTATTGTCTTATAACCATCTGCTAACCCATAGTTGTTAGTTGTAGGACGAACGATAATTGGAATTGACCACACTTGTGATACACCTTGAACATCCGATGCATTAATCGATACTGTGATATTTTTTGTCTGTGTTCGATTTAATATTCCGTTGTAT